CGATTCCGTATCGATATCCTGACCCAACAATTCGATTATTTTCGATACTCAAGAATACACCACGATACGATTTAATTGATTGGTTCATTTCTTTTTTTTTACCTTACAGGCTAGACAATGTTTCAAATTTGAAATAAATCAATGAAAGCTGTAATATCGTTATGGATTTTATTTGAGAAACAACAGCAAATAACAGAAGTAGAAAATTTGTAGTCCACCTAGGCTTATTAAAACCTCATTCACTGAAAAATAAAAATGTCCCTGTGTTAGAGATTCTGAAAGGCCTTGCATCAGAAAATACTGCACAAAATCAGTGCAATGAGTGCAATGCAATACCTCGGCTCCAGAGTGTCGAGCCGGTATTGGAAGTCTTCGTTCTCCACAACGCAATAGGGATGTATGTCTCTACATATGAAGAACGTGATTGCCTTGGATATATTCCTCGCCCTATACTTCGAAACTAGGTTGTCACTAGGTTGTCTATGTAGGTGTCGCAGTGAACAAAAAGACATCCCCGCCCCCTCCACAGACGCTCCGCTGCACCTCTCCCAAATTGTAGGTGACCGCAGACAGTGCCGCAGACAGGAGGCCCCAAATTCCTCTCCCCCTCAGCTGTATCTAGACTCACAGCATATAGCGCAGACCACGCTTCAATATTGGGCATAAATCACAAAATGTCTGCGCCAAGCTCACTGGGACACAAGTTCAATGCGCAAGAGTATAACCAGGAAGCGAGGTAGGAGGGCAAAATAGGTTTAGCGCCACCGCAGCACTGGAGTCAGAATTACGCCCAAGAGCAAACGGATAAAAATAGACCAGAGGGAAAAAAAAAAACATGAGTCGCTACTCTTGCGGACTTGTCGATGAATCGATAGATTGTTACAAAACGATTATTATTTACACCCCTAGTCCTGACCACATAAACATGTACTGAGGCCAGTACCACGGTATTACTATGGTACTGTTGTCTATCCAGTTTAACCAATCCAAAACAATGGCAATCAGAATAAGCGGTTCCAAATTATTGGTATATACTGGGTATAAATGAGAATGGGATGGCCTCTTCCCTCCAACAGAAAAACAAAGCAAGTATTTCTATGGCAACAGAATGACGCCACATGTGCGTGGCTGTAGCTCTGTGACATAGGTAGACATAAAACATAACATTTGCCCCTTTCTTAAAACAAATGTATACAGCCAAATCAAACTATTTCCCTTTTGGAATTAATGACGTTCTTTTTCTGATAGCTAACTTGTGATTTTTCGTCAGTGTAATGAATATGCAGCAAACCCCTTGGAACTTACATTTAAATTCACGCGTTTCCACCGCCATCAAGACGCCGTTACATCTGCTGCCAAATTCCAGCCAGCCTGCACTTAATTCAGACTCGCTATTTAAGGGCTGAATGGTCCCCTTGCCCAACACATGCTGTTTAATATTACAAGAAGCATATTACTATATTTGACCCTGTGGGACATAGAGGAAATCCACATAATTTTCTAATTTCAGTGTATATTTTGTGTTTTTTTTTCCTTATAAATTTATAACTCTATGGACAAATAATGAAAATGTTACCATTAGATTAGAAAAAAAAAATGTTAGTCAAATCAACCAAGAGCGTTAACTTAAACTTTTCACCTGATTTGAAGTCAAATGATTTAATAATTTATCTTAATTCAAAGCCTGACTACTCTATTGATCAAATTTACAAGCCAGCAAGTTTATTAACTAATTGCTCATTATTATTTTAATTTTCTTCAACACCACAATATGATCTTTATTTTATTACTTTTTTTCTTGTAGATAGATAATTAGTCCTTTGTCTTCTTCCTTTCCTATATAACTTTGGTATAAGTCTATAAAAAGCTATAATTCACAATGGTAGAAAAGTGTAAGTAGATTCATGTTAAACTTTACATTTACTTTTATTGTGTATTTTTTATGTGTTTTAAATGTTTTTTACATGTTACATGTGTAGCATGGTATAACCAACTTTATCTCACCAGGAACAAGTGTGTCCATTGAGACAGAAAGGAACTGGATGGATGCCGTAATCAACTGTGAGGCTAAAAATGCATCTCTGGTCCAAATCTCTAATGAAACAATGAATGCTGAAATCGGAAATCTGTTGTCCATTGTGAATACAGAAATCTGGATTGGCATAAGGAGAGAAATTTTTTGGGTCTGGTATGACACTGGAGAAATTTACAGTTCCCCAAACTGGACAGAAAGCCAAATGGAAAATGTTACAGAGAATGAACTTTGTGCAGCCATTGGGTTGGAAAACTGGACTCTGACAAAAGAATCATGCAATGCGTTGTACCCTTTTATTTGCTCAGAGAATGTAGATTTTTCACAAGGCTCTTCAAGTGGACCCTCAGGTGTTTCATCAGGTGTTTCATCAGGTGGTTCATCAGGTGGTTCATCAGGTGGTACATCAGGTGAGTCTTTTCATCTCTAATTGATATTTCATAAGTCCCATGTGAATTATGAATTGAAAGGAGAAATACCTCTTAAACTTTTGCCATTTGTTCTATTTAACCATCACATCTGTTTAGGGTTATTATTTTGTCCACAAATCCTGATAAATCTTACCCATGAAGCAGACCTGTGGTGAAAACCTAAATCAATTAAATTTTTCTGCATCTGAATCCATACGAGTCAGACATTATTATCCCAAGCTCACGATGTTATGATCGGGATGCCATTATTTTGGCCAACGATTAAAAAAACGGCAAAGCTTTGGTGCAAAAGTTGAATCCTATAATAAAACAGGTTCCCAGAACCTCTTTCTTTGACTTCTGCAATATTGCTAAAATTAGAACAATCCAAACTAGTCCATGTAGTTTTCTCTTTTAAGCTTCGACTTTTGTAATCCTTAAATATGAGGAATTTCATAAAATGCAGTTAAAGGCCTTTAGCTGACCCAAAATGCTACAGTCAGAGTTCTGATAAAAGTTAAAAAAAAGATTATATATTTCCTTTTTTACCTTCCCTTTATTGGCTCCCTGGTTAATCCAGAATAGATCTTTAAATTATCCTTATTATAGGTGTGTGACATTGTGGTCTTGTCACTATTCCTCTGACTGATCATGTGCTTTGGCAACTTGACCAAGGGGCTAATTGGTCAGTGTACATGATTTTTACTTGCACATATCCATGTGCTATGCTGGTAAATGGCCCAAAGGTCTGTAAGCCTGTGTAGAGCATAAGCATGTGCTTCGGGAAAGAGGGGAAGAGATTTGATATTGTGCAGTTCTGTCACTATGACTCCGATGGATAATCCACCTTGGCTACTTGGATCAATGGGTGATTTACCATGACATCAGAAGCTAGAACTTTTTGTACAGGTATACAGTGACCAGGAGGATGTTTTTTTTTTGTTTGTTTGTTTTTGAAAGAGCAACAGTGCTAGTGCTACAAAGAAGAAGGAGATGGTGTAGAAAAAGATTGCTGTTCAAGTTAATGCTTAGGTTTTTACATAGTCTTCTATGGCAGGCCTATTAACATTTATTAAAACCTTGCTGTTCCATTTGTAGATCGCTAAATTTGGAGTGCTTCTGGTCAAAATTTAAATCCCTACTAGTCAGAACTGTAGTAAGAGATTTTCTAAACTACATTTTAGCTACCGGTAGCTGAAACTGAATTTCATAATGTCAAAAAAAATAAGAGTATACCGATAGGAAAGATGTTTTAGATATTAAGAAATCCTCACCATTTAACCATTTTTTCTTTCTAGTCAAAATGAACATTTCAGACAATAAAAATGACATTCTTACCTCCTTAAATGAAAATGTAAGACATCTTGAAAATAATTCAAATGTTTATGTGTATTGGGCTTTTACTACCAGATACCTAAAATGACTCTCCTTTAAAGTCCTCTTAAAAAAAATAAGATCTTTATAATCCATTGAAGATGTAAATCCCTCCACAATTTTTGTCTTAATCTGTTAAGAGTTTGTTACTTGATATTATTGTGTTTTTTTCTACTTATGCTTCACTTAAATATGCCTGAGGGCTTTTCAGAATAGCTGTATTAATGATAAGGCTGATTTCCACACAAGCGAACCCTACAATATTTTTTAATTTGGGGAAATTTAAAGCAATAAGTTGATCTAGGTTTAATGT